AACCGACCCCATCCCCAGCTCTGGGTCACGCCCTGATAGGCTCAAACCCAGCAGCCACTTTACACCCAGAGAAGAACACAGGAGCAGAGCTGTGCATTCAAGGGAGGACGTGAAAGCTAACAGCACCAGCAGACTTGGGGAGTCACTCGCAAGGAGGGCATCCCTCCTCCTCCAGACTCTGGCAGACATCTCTGCTGCCTGGAAGGGAGCCTGGCATGGGGTCTGCCCTGCGAGAGCAGAGAGAAGGAACAGGTCTCAAGACAAACTGCTGGACCAAGTCACTCCTGAAGTTACACCCCAGGAGCTCCTCACTTTCCTTAAGTAAGGTCAGTTTGCTATGGGCTCTGTGTCCCTTGGTTTTCAGAGATCCTTATTAACTCTTACAGCTTACATGTGCTTCCCACCTTGTCAAGATGCAACATGTATGAGCAATGGAAGCCACTGGCCAAGTTCTATACTGTTGGTTGGGAGTCCCTTGGGGTCAGGGAATGACATCTTGACCACCTGTGCTGGCCCAGAGTGAGCTCAGAGGACATTCGGGGAACTACCGTGCCTGATGGTCCGGGCCAGCTCCCTCTTCCAGGGTGCACTGTGTGTCATGGAACACACGTGACCAAACAGATTTGAAAGTGCCCTAGGCATCCCTCTGTCCTCTCCCAGGACAGCTGGATGGCCCTGATTGGCCAAGGCAAGGCAGGCTGGAGACAGCCTTCCCTGGCAGCCCTCATCTGTGCCCCTGGGCATAGTGCCTGAGCCTTAAGGTGGCAGCCGGTCAGAGGAGAGTTCCTGTGTCTGCGACAGCAGGGCCCTCAGTGGTGGCATAGACTAGGGGAGCTGAGTACAGTCCCGTAGGAGGCCTCTGCCATGCCAAGCAGGGAGTAGTCTGGACAGTGAGTGTCCAGCTCCCTCACCCAGAAGGGGAGGGAACTTGTGTCAGATTCCTGGGGCTGCCATAGCATATTATGACAAACGATGTGGCTGAAAACAATGGAAATTCATTATCTCACGATTCTGGATTCTGGAGGTGTGGCCTTGGGTGTCACCAGGCTTTCGTCTCTCCTAGCTTCTTGGTGGCTTCTTTGAGCCTCACTGCAGCTGTCAGGTCTCTGTATCTTCACAGGACCTTCTGTTTCATGGGTGTCTCCTCCACTCTAAAAGGACCCAGTCACACAGGACTGAGGATCCATTCTCCCCTCATACCTCATCTTAACTTACAGCTTCATAGAATCTGCAAAGATCCCATTTCCAAATAGGTTTGCCTTTACAGGTAGAGGGCTCAGACTTGAGTTTGTCCTTGGGGGATGAGATTCAATGGGTACCAGATTTGTCTGAGCTCTGGAAGCCACTTGGCAGGCTCACAAGCCCCTCCTGGCTCAGGGACAGGCACCCACAGGAAACAACCACGTCCCATACACCCCTGCTCAGAGCAGGCCAGCTCCTCGCCAGGTCTTTAGTTGACCAAGCACGTGCAGGATGCTTTGGTTCTCTGGTGCAATCTCTCCAGTGGAGGGACAGGGACAAAGAATAGAGACCCTGACCCCTGTGACCCTAGGCCCAGCTGGTCCAGTGACAGCACAAGGGACAGCCAAGATGATGTCCTGATGGGGCCAGGATAGGGAACAAGGGCTAGGATGGCTATGGTTGTCACCAGCCCTGTGGAAAGTCCTAGGGAAGTTTACAGTGAAGAGTGACTTTCCCAGCTGAGCCGGGAGTCACTAAGCCCTGGGGGCTGGCCCCCGTCACTAGGACTCCCATGTGACACACAGCACTGTTTTCGCTCATAAATCACCAAGGCTCAGTGACCTCAGTTTCCTGAATCTCAAACCAGGACTGTTTTTCACTTTGCCTGTGAAGGACAGAACGGACTGTGGGCATCAGGGTTAACTCATGTGTTACAGTTTTTGTCATCCCCAGGCCACACTGGCGTTTCCAGGTAAGGTAGGAGAGAATTCTCCCAAGGCTTAGTGGGACAGTCATCCACCTCCGCACATTGCCACAGTCTGTCATTTCCTGGACAGAGCTGACCACCCACCTCACCCCTGGGCTCCAGAGTGCCACATGTCCATCCGAGAGACCTGCTCACAGCGTCTGGGCAGCTACGGGCCCATTCAGTTGCTGCTTCTCCTACAGGTGGCCAGCACTGGTCCTTTTCCATACACCCATCTGTCTTTGCCTCCGACAGCTACCTGGCTCCAATGCAGGCTGAGAATTAGCAGAAAAACGAGGCCCCACCTTCTCGGAGAAGACACACCTAGTTTAAGCAAACTGCCCAAGCCCCACCATACCTTATCAGGCCTGAGGTTAGCCACCTGGGGCTGGCCATCACCAGCCATTCAGTACTCAGGACGTTTTGTCTCTTTTGCTCCCTTCACTCACGTCCTACCACCGGATAGAGGAAAAGTTTTAAGGTGTGAATATGAAATAAAGAAAAAGTGAATTGTGGCCTCGATTTAGGTTGGCCATTTGGTCACTGATTAGCTACATGGTGATCAGAGAGTAATTCTGAGGGAGGCACTAGTGCAGGATTGATCGATCATGCTTCTACCCAGCTGTAATTATTAGACCACAAAATCCAAATGAACAGACTTTACCTTCTATACAAAATGCCTTTGTTCTTGTCAAGTCCCAGGTTAACAGGCTGTCCCCCCCACATAGCAGGGGTCTTGTAGAGGGGATTACTTTAAAATGAGGTCATTAGGGTGGGCCCTAATCCAATCTCACTGGGGTTCTTACAGGAAGAGACGGGGTCACAGACACACACAGGGATGACCCCTGAGGACACAGGAAGGAGACACCATTGTAAGCCAAGGGGAGAGGCCTCAAGAGGAGATACCTAAATCTTCAGCTCCCAGCCCCCAGGATGTGAGCTATGAATGTCTATTCGAGCTGCCCACCTGTGGATTCTGCCATGGTGGCCCCAGGAGACGAGCACACTGGCACAAAGGTGCTGAAGTTCTGACAGGAGGGAGCAGGTCACGCCTTAGGAACCTTCGAGGAGAGATGAAATCCCATTCGGAGGGCTCACAAATCCTCGGCCAATGTGGACAAGGGTCTTTGTCCAACAGAACCGGGTTTGGGCAGGATGATGAGGGAGCAGGCAGAATACTTCTTCCACAAACAATGACAACTTAACAGCCCTGGACAACTGGGACACTGAGACACAGTCTGTAGCTCGGCTCAGGAGCTCGATGGTGACAGCAAGGACCTGGGTTCCTCCTCGTGTCCCATTGTGCACTTGTGTAGCTTACGCACGAGCTGCCTGCAAGTTGCCTATGGTGGTTCAAGTGTCACATCCCAGTGGGATGACACGCAAGAGGCAGCTGCACTTAGGAACGATGTGCCGTTCCCCAGCAGATGCTGCTCCCGTCTCACTGGCCACAGGAGGATGGGCACCGGTTCCTGACCCAAGCACTAGAAGTGGTGCCATGAGGGCTGAGGGACTGCTCAGCAGCTATCTGTATGCATTCCAAGGCTGCAAGGAGCCAAGGGATCCTGGGACCTGGGGCAGTGCTCCAGAGAGAGCCAGGCGGACACAGGCCAAGGTCAGCCCACAGAAACTTGGGAAAGATGACAGAGGTTGCCATGGCTCCACGCGGCAGGAGAGGAAGCAGCACCCTGTTGCTCAGACCCCTAGGTGGGAGAGGCGAGAAGGCTTTGTCAGGAGGGGACAGCTCTGGAGCTGGCTGACAGGGTGGGCATTTCCCAGCCAGGCAGGGACCACTCTCATCCTCTCACAGTGACTACTCCCCGGTTACCAGACAGATGGCAAGGATGTGACTGCTGCCACATCCAGACCAATGCTCCTCTGAACCTAGATCCCAGCGCTCAGCATGAGGCACACAGTGGCTGGAAGGGTGTCAGAAACGGTACCAGACGGACCTGTGCTTTAAAATGTGCCGTTTATTTATTTTTCCAATAAAAGAAACAATACATTATCAAAACAGGTAACTTAGAAAATATAAAACTCCAATGAGGGAAATAGCTAAGGCCCTGTGGTCCAGCACTCCTAATGCTGCAGTTTATCCCACCTCTGGGGACAGTGGGAAGGCCACATGAGGCTCCTCTGGGCTGGCACTGGCACCTCTTCCTCTCCCTCAGATGTCCCGGCCAAGGGAACCTGGGCAGCCCCAGAGCTCCATGGCGGCAGCAGACCCGGTGCTGCCTGCAGCAGAAGGCAGCACTCCCAGCGCTTTGTGGTGCTGTGAAGTGCTTGCTCGGCTGCTGGGCTCTCAAGACCAGGCAATCCCTTTCTGTTCTGCTTGCTCATCTCTAAAGGGAAAAGCATCTACCTCCCGGGCCGCCGAAGCAATGGAACAAAACCTAGGAAGGACCAATGTTCTGTACGGTGCCTAGAAGTCTCAACCAATGTCACAGTACCAGTCACGTCGTCCCACTAACCTACCTCGTATCAACCCTGTCTCGTTTCTCCCTGCATGACTCGGGACTGAACACAGGGCCTGTGCACTGAGCTACATTCTCTAATCCTTTTCAGATTTTCGCTAAGTTGCTAAACTGCCCAGGCAAACTTCCAACCCTCAACCTACCAGAGTGCTGGGATTACAGGTATGAACCACTTTACCCAGTTAACCTGTCTGTTTTTTTTTTTTTTTTTTTTTTGAGATAGGGTCTCACTATGTAGTTTAGGCTGGCCTTGAACTCACAGCAATCCTCTTGCTTCTGCCTCCCCAATGTTGGGATTACAGGCGTGGACCACCACACCCAGCTCAACTCTATTTAAAAAAAAATAGTAACTTCCCCAGAGCCCAGGCCTGGGATAATCCTAACCCTACCCACGGCAGCACCTAGCAGGCCTGCCTGGCTGAACGATCAGTGAAGCTGCCAACTCTAGAACAGCAAGCACTGAGCAGCCTCTCGAGGGACCTGCAGGGCTCCCTCAGACACACAGCAGACAGGGCCCAGAGCACTGTAGCAACCCAGGCAGAAAACCTCGGGGAAGGGGGCCAAACGGGGACCCTCCCTCCAGAACAATGAATACCCTGTCATTGTTTTGCCTTTAATGACATTATTTGAACACTTAATATGCAGACATCTGTTCCTTGATGTTCCATCTTTGTTCATCTGTCATCCTCAGAATGAAAGTCCAGGATCTTCCGCGCTAATTTTAAAGTCCGGCTGAACATTGAGTAACGAACAAAACTGAAAACACAAAAGCAAAAACATGGCATTTTAAAATCTTGCTCATTTCTGCTCACTAATGAGAACATACCCCTCTTGTGATTGCGGCTTTTGTCACCAGACCTCGGCTAAGTCCTAACACCTGTCCCCTAACCATCCTCAGTTGTCCTGCACAGAGGCAGAAACGATCTGCTTCTAGGACTATTCACAGGGTGTGCTTGGCCACAGCCAGCACAAAGCAAACCCCTAGGGCCTGTGCCAGCCACCCTGTAGAAAGGCATACTTTGGCGTTCAGGCAGAAAGAGACAAGTAGAAAACAGACCTGTTTAAATTTTCCTCTGATTTTGTCTAAGTCTTCATGGAGTTTATCGTAAGTAGGGTCATCATAGGGGAACTTCTGAATCATTCCAATCAATGATTCCAAGACCTTCATCTTCCTGCTGTAAAGCACAGAATAGAGGCTTTCAGTCCTCAGTACACAACAAGCTCAGCTTGTATAATAACCACGACTATCACTTAAAAGCAATGGGTGTGCTAAGAACGCCCAGTTTGGAGCCTGAGGATTAATGTTCCCATTAAACTAAATAATATTTATTTTCCTAGCAACAGGCTCTGGCCCACACCTAGCGCTTCACAGCAGATAGGTACAGTGGCACACAGAGGTGCCTCCCTCCGTGCCCGCCACAGAGGCGAGTAACTGGGGCAACCTCATGGCTCTCTTGGTCACAGACACCAAAACAGACAGAACCAGGCGAGAAAGCGAGTGGCTGGGGCACGAACAAGCCTGCCCCGATCTGGGGACTTTCCAGGAGGGCAGCGTGCACTCACAGCCTTTAGGGGTTCAGCTGCAGGTAACTTGACTCCTCCCTGCGAGGGCAGCACCACTCCCTGGTGTCAGAGCCCAGTTCCCTTGGCCAGGACGACAAGGAGCTTGTGAGGAGGCTGCAGAAAGGTACCCGCTCAGGAGGTGGGCGGCCCCAGGCACATCTCCAGGACATTCAGTCACTTCCCTCCTCTGAACCTCACTGTCATCTGCAAAGCTGGGAAACAGCAACTTTGCATACTTTCAAGAGAACTAAATCACCCACGTGAAGTCTGAACTTGGTATTGAGCAGGTATTCAATAACAGGACTCTCTTTGCTTCTATGGATCCTGGAGATGGGGATCTTACCTGGGGGCCTTAAAAATAACCTGTTCGTGTGGCCTGGGGCTTTTCAAGGTACAGGTGACCCAGGGTGCACTCCTGCCCTCCACCACATTTGTCCCCTGAAAGCAGGGGTATGGTAGGTATTTGACTGATGGCAATTCAGAGCAACCATGACCTCCTGAGTACTTCCTAATAGGGGTGTGTATGTGTGTGTTTTAAGAGAAAAGAACAAAAACAAAATAACAAAAACTACAAAAATGATAGAGAATTTCAAAACAAGATAACAGGCAATCAACAATGGTTGCTGTATTACTTACTGTTATCTTCAAAGTAGCTACTTAGATTACCAGATATAGGTATGAAAGATTGATGAAACAATTAAACATTAACTGTCCCATTCAATAAACAGTAGAAATTAGTAGTACAATGTCTCAGCTATCTTGTATGTGTGTATGTGTATATACATATATATTTCCCTTTCTTCACTCTTTCTTTTCTCGTTTCCCTCATCCCAGCATTTCTTTACTATTGAGCAGTTTCTTTCCCTTTCACAATATCTATCGTACCTTTCAGTTTTATTTACTCTTTCAGGTGTTCTTAAATACACAGAAGAGTAAATTCGCCTATGGCAAGGTGGGTTGTCAGACCGACCACGGTTCCCTCTCCTCCCTTTGGAAATGGTCAAAGCAAGTCAGTTAAAGCAACGAAGTCCTCAGTGCCTAGGAGATTGAAGGCAGATGCCAAGATGAGGGCTGCATTCGGATAGGCTACAAAGACCACCACTTGTTGCCAACTTCACAGGCAGGGATTCTTCCCTGGCCAGAGGCGCCCACAGACACACCCAGCCTGGCAGTCAGAGCCCATGTGTGCCCAGAGGTGGGAGGGCAGGCCTTGGAGCTGCCAGCACCATGTGCACACAGCACCACCCTTGCTGAGAAGGCAGCAGCAGCATGTCAAGAGTTTAGCAAGAAGCTCCAGCACTCAGCCGAAAGTGCCACCTTTGCTTGCCAACAGCTCTCCACGGCTTCTTAGGTGCGGAAATGCCCACTCCTTTAGGGCAGACCATGCAGGTGGCAGCTGATTTCCCTTTAATATCCTTATTTTTAAAATGGAAAAGTAGAACATTCTCTCTTTGCCCTTCACCTTTAAAAAATAATCCTGCTGGGTTGGGGGCACAGCCCAGTGGCAGAGTGCATGCTTAGCATGCGTGAGGTCCTGGATTTGATTTTTAAAAAATTGTACTGACTTAGAAAATCCAAATATCTGCGGATATGGAGGCTTTATGTTCCAGAGACCTCCGGGCTCTGCCAGGTGGGATGTTGGCACAGGAAATGGGGTGGTCTTAAAGTGGCTCCTTCTCTATCTGACAGTCTGAGTGTACTGCTTGAAGACATTAGGAGACCCTTGCTCCAGGGCAGGGCTAGCAGCTGCCTGCCCTGACAAAAGAGCATTCAAATAAGCAGTGCCCCCAGGTGGGCGCCACCAACTTTGAGAGTGGAGAGAAGGGGAGACTGGTAGAGAGCCCTGAAACAGTACCCTTCAGGCTTCTGTCCTTTTTGGATCCAGTGGAGAGCCAAGCTCAGCTGTGACTGCCACCCGGTGGCAGCACATGCTGTCAACAACTAGTCCACCTCACCACCAGCTGCCCTGTGCCCCCTTAGGCCTCAGGGAAACCCTTTACAGCACACCCTAGCTTAACCTAAGCATCTGCTCAAACAGATGGAGGAGGCAGCTAACATGGACAAGTTAGACTGCAGGCAACCCTGGCAGCACCATCCTTAGTCACAAGTATCCTCGTTCTTACTTGCGAACACGGGTACGACCCAGGCTGCAGAAATTCAAAATATCTCAAATAAAAGGACAAATCACATGGACAGAGGATGCCACCTTCCCTGCCATGCTGGGCCAGGCACCAGGTGCCAGCGTGCTGCACAGGACCAGCCTTAAACCCACCTTCTCCTGGGAGCAGCAGAATAGCCCAGCCATACACACCTCCTGCTTAAGGGTTTGCTTCCAGCCTAAGAATGAAGACCTGCGAGACAGGCTCCCACAAATGGGTCGGTGAGGCAGGCAGGCAGGCAGGCAGGCAGATAGGCAGAGCATGGCAGGATGGTTCATGAATGTAAAAAACAATTCAAATGGCAGCTAACATTTATACAGGGCTTCCAAGTACTGGAAAACGAGTCACACACAGTGGAAGGTTTCCTGGCTGGCTAAGGAAAAGCTGCTGACGTTTGCAATCTGTTCATCAGCAGCTCAAGGGAGGGATGAGTAAGACAGAAGTCACTTAGTATCTATCACTTTACTGATGCAGTGTGTGAAAGCCCCCTCCGTGCTTTAACAACTCCAGGGACAAGGCAGGGAAAACCAAAACTCCTGTGAAGTAACAATGATCAGTGCTCATCAGATGTCCAACATGTGCCCAGCGCTGTCTATTTATTATTTCCTTTAACTTTTCTGACAATATTCAAATGTGACATTATTATTTTCTCTGTTTTACAGATGAGGAAGCTGAGATGGAGCAAAGTCACAATGAGCAAGGTCACTGTGAGTAGCTACGAGCCCAGAGCTCCTCTTGGCCCATACATTGAGAAGGAAGAAGAAAGGACAGTTCCAACGTCACCTGTCTTTGTCACTGGCACAGCTATGCAGGAGGCACTTCCACACAAGAGCAAAACCTTGATAGCACCCGATCTGCCAATTAAAAAAAATTGAAAAGTGAGGTTAATAAGCAACTATCTACACTTTCTAATGACCAAACTCTCAAAATGCAAGGCACAAGCAAGGGCAGCCATACTTGGTTTCCGTTACTGTTCTGGAAGGACCTGCTGAACTGTGGACAATGGAAGTTAGGTGGTGGAGTCATCAGCCACCAAGATGGCCTCCATGATGGGTATCCCTGTTTTCATGCCCTGAGCAATCCCCTTGCCTGCCAGGGTGGTGGCTTGTGTCACCAACGGAACCCAGAGAAAGGAGTGCTGACTTCTGAGGTCTCATGTGAAAGGTAAATGTCATTTCTGCTTGCTCTCCTGGATCAACGCTCTTAAGTGTCAGTACAAACAAGCATACAGGTGCCTACTGTCACCTGAGTGTGCCATGTGGGGCTCGAGCCTCCAGCACCAGGCCTTCAGAGGGCACCAGAGCTCTGCCTCATATCCTGGCTGTGGCCTCCTGAGATGTGAGCCAGGTGGTTCATAAATTCCCTCCCCTCAGAAACTGTGTAGGGGAAACACAGATGTGTTTTTTAAGCCCCTGTGCTGTAGGCATTTGTTTTATGGCATGAGATAGCTGATACTGTCCAGACTGCCTCACCTCAGGCTCTGCCATTTAGGGTCAGGTATCTATCTGTAAGAGAAGCCCAATCTAGGACAAAGGACAAGGAAAAAAAAAGTATGAATTTCACAGAATTTCTTTTTTGTTTGTTTGATTTGTGACACAGGGTCTTGTTAGGTAGTTCAAGCTGGCTTTAAACTCACTACAGCAATCCCCTGCCTTAGCCACCTGAGTAGAATTTCTACGTAAACACAGACACCCACTCTGAGGCTGAAGACACTAGAGAGCACCATGACACTCCAATGTAAGTTGAGGCCATCAAGGACTTGTTTTCTCACCCTGCAGCTACATAATGTAATGATCGCCATACAGCAGTGTGCAGTCAGTTCTACACTAAGAATACTTCTCCATCAACACCCTGTCCAGTCCATTAACTCCAACACAAAGGCCTCGCAGTGTCAAGAGGCCTGATGCTCTGGATCAATCTCACTGAACATCAAAGTAAACCATAAACTGTAAGGGAACAGAGTCTGTTTCAAAACGAGAGTTATCACGTACCTCAGATCCAATTCTGGCACCATGTAAGGTACCATACTGTCTTCCTTCGATTATACCCAAACTACTGCCTTCTTCATAGCCTTCCTGGTACCCTTCCCCGTGAAACCTGTGATGGAGAAGAAGCACACTTCATCAAACAGGAAAGAGAACTTCTTTTGGCAATAACTTTCCTATCTTACATTATCTAGACCCCAGAGGATAAGACAAAATAGAGCAGAGGGGCTGGGGATTTAGCTCAGCGGCAAAAGCGCCTGCCTGGCAAGCGCAAGGTCGTGAGTTCAGTTCCCGGTACCGGAGAAAAACCAAAAAAAAAAAAAAAAAAAACCACAAAAACAAAATAGAGCAGAACAAGTCTAAAATGAAAGTCCAATGGTGCAGGTTCTGGTTCAGCTCTCCCCTGTCCTGAGTGTCTCCTCTGGCCAAGCACACTGTGCCCTGTGAGGCCAGCTTTTTTTCATCTACAGGAGGAAGGCGAGCTAAATGAGTGATCCTCCAAACTTTTTTGGAGGGGCCAGAAACACACAGTGAAAATTTAAAGCTATAAACCCAAGAGCCCGATGGTTAAGAAGTCCGGAGGAAAGCCCAGAAATCTACTTTTCAAATCTTCTAGATATTTCTGGTCTGAAGCCACAGTAGAGAAGAAGCCAAAACTCTTAAGTGTACAAGCAACACTCACTTGTACCAATTGCTTCCAAAAATCTGTGTAACATGTACTGGTCTTTTCATCAGATCTCAGTAGAACAACAGGGAGAAATGCCAGGACATCATCACAAAATGAGATAACTGGAATGTAACAAAGGCATTGACTTTACGCGTTCAACAGTGGCACTGGCTGCTTTAACCAACAGTGAGAAAGATGGTGTTTGGGGGCACCCCGTGAGAGAGAGAGTGCACAGCTCCCCGCTTATTCGTCATATGGCCCTGGAGTGACTGTGCCCTCTCATCTGTAAAACAAATAGAACAAGATCCATTGCCTAAACTGGGCTAAAACAGCTGAGAACGTCTACTCAGCTGGGTTCCCTTTCAAAGCAAGTCTCAAACAAATGTCAGGGACGGAGTGTTCAATGTTCACTCGCTGTGTTAACTGACATCTACCGATGTCTCCTGGGGGCCGGGCCTGAAGGCAGCCAAAGGGCCAAAACTCGCAGCTCCGCCCGCTGTATCCCTGGGAGCTCCCCGGGGGCTCTGGAGACAAAGGGATGCCGCCTGACACATGGATCCACAGGTCCGTGAATACTGCCGTATGCCTGGCAATTAAGAAACATGAAAAGTAGCAGCTCCCAGATGGCAAAGGCCTGTGCCACTAGAGCAGGGGGCGTTCCTGGAGGAACGCAGTCCTCAGGCCGAGCAGATGCCGGAGGCGGCGGGGGACGGGAGAGGCGGGTCCCGAGCAGCTGGGCACGTGTCGGGACTGGGCGTGCGAGGAGCAAGGCAAAATCATTAGCATCTCGGCCCCACACTTACTTGCAGGGCCATACGGTGCTCTCCCCGCGCAGCCCACGGCAGGGCGCCAGGCGCAAGAGGGTACCCTAACCCGCAACCCATCCGCTGAGACCAGGCCTGGAACTCCCATCGGCCGCGGCCCAGTCTCGCCACCTACCTCTCATCCGCCATCACGATGGCGTCGAACATGTCCTGACTCTCGGCCATCGCGGTAGCCAGGCCCTCCCCGCTAGCATTCGGGGTCTCAGCTCCCAGGGTTGCAGCACCCAGCCCGCGAGCGTCAGAACAACTCTCGCTTCCAAGGAGGCGAACACCACTTCCGGAAGCAGCCGCGCGGAGCTCGCCGGGAAAGGACGGGACACAAGAGGGTCCAAAAAGATGCCAGGACGCCTGGACAACTGCTGCAGTGGGCGGAGCTAGGCGCCGATGAAACCCAGCCCGTTGGCCTTTTTTCCTCCCTCTTTCCTACTAGAGCACTGGGCGGGTCAGTATGCTCCCAGAGTTTCCAGTCGTACGAGCTCCGGGGGCTGCAGGCCCGGTCTTTGGTTTTTAAAAAGCCAGGTAGATATGAGTGAATTGCTAAACATGGCAGGGGAAGAAATTGGAAAAATTATCAAAGAACCGGCTCCTTAGGAGGCTCCGGGTCCTGAAGCTCCTCCCTTGGGATTTGGGGAAAGCCGAGAAAGGGCAACGCCGGGCTGCAGGGTGCAAAGGGGACTCGCGCGGTCCAGCGGAGCCCACGGCAAGATCCAGAGGGGATCGGGCACGGTGCAAGGCAGGGTGAGGGTCCATGTCTCCGCGGCCACACCGCAGGACTGCAGCAAGCGGCGGGCTGTGACCACGGAAGAAGGGCTGATTGACACGGAGACATCTGAAAAGGCAAAAATAATAAATGTGGCCATCTGCACTTGATATGTTAAAGAGTTCTTGGAAAGTGAAATAGAAAAGGTTGTGTGTGCAGTTGCCTTGTTTTTTTTTGGTCTTTTTTCTATTTTATGTTTTTTATTTGATTTTCGCTGTTTTCAGATGGGTTTTATTTTTTGTTTTTGGTGCTGAGGACCGAACCCAGGGCTTCCAGCTTGCTAGGCAAGCGTTCTACCACTGAGCTAAATCCCCAACCCCGAACGTCAGCTATCGCTCTGGGTATTTAAAGCAAATACAAGGTGATTCACGCAACATAATTCAACTTCAGAGAGGTTTGATCCCCTCCCACAACCCAAGCATTCCAACTGGAGGCCTCCATGCTTAACAAAACAACAACAAAAAACCACAGGATTTGGTTTTAGCTCCCCTAGGTCATCTCCACGAGAGATACTTTCTGAACAAGGTTTTTAAAAAGCTATTTCAAACTATCAACAACAGAACAAAGGCGTGAAACGCCAGAAATACTCCCTTTCAAATAAAGAATAAAACAAGAATGCCTTTATCACATAAAAAAGAATGCCTTTATCACATATATGCTAACCAGGTATTTCTCTAAAAGACCCAGATCATGCATCAACACATGACACAGAAGCAAGAAGTGTAAGCGTCAAAAAGAAGAGAGAAAAGTATCACTCTTTCCAAGTGTGATGCCACCCACAAAAAATTAGTTGAAATCTCAGAATTCCTAGCAGAGTCCAGCAAGTAGCAGCGTACACAATGTAGACCAAGTCAAATAAAATCGCTCTCCTTCTGCTAGTCCAACAATAATTAGCAGCCGCCAGAGCAGGGTGGTGATGGGGAAATGACAGTAGTCACAAACTCCTTAGAAATAACAATTTCTAACAACTCAAGCAGGACCCATGTGAAATAAAACTAGAAATAAATACACCAGGATCCTGGGTGAAAAGACTGAACAAATCAGTACCAAGCAAAATTCCTGCGCTCTGGGAAAATGTGTCCAAATTCTAAATTTCGTTATCATGATTAAGCACTTAACAATTAGATATTTTTATGAAAGGAAGATGTTTTTATGCTGTGGAAAACTTGCTATGTGGGACTTTCCAGATAAAGAAAGTTAAAACTCAATGTAAATGTTGTGGACTGCTGGTTCAAGAATGAAATCAATGAAGTAGACTAGAATGGTACAGATTGAATTCCCAGAGAGGCACAGATTCACCTGCTAAAAAGAGAGCCACAAAGGTATGGGGAAGGGAAGACTAATTAATAACTCTAATGGAAATAATATTGGCATCAGGGAAAAGTCAAATTCCATTTATATTTCACACCATGCATCAAAGTATTTCCAAATGAGCTGGGTGTGGTGGCACACCCCTGTAATCCCAGCACTAGGGAAGCTGAGGCATGAGGATCACCTCAAATTTGAGGCCAGTCTGGGCTACATAGTGAGTTCAAGGTCAGCCTGGACTACAGTGTGAAACTCTGTCTCAAAAAAAACCAAAAACAAAACAAAAATCCAGATGAATTAAAGAGTTAATTGTTAAAAAAAAAAAAAAAGACAATAAAAAATCCAGGTGGGACATTCAGGGGAGTAAGAAGTGTGCTTTTGAGCACATAAAAGACACGGAGGAAATCACAGCTGGAAAAACTGACTAATTTGAACCTATGAAAATACAAATTTCTTCATGCCTAAGTGGGAAGAGACAAAAAATAAAATTAAAAATCAAAGAACAATGGGGGGAAATGCTTGTCATAATTATAAATGAAGGAATCATATTTCTGGTTTATAAAGAACTTATTAAAGTGGATAAGAAGTACGTACATCTTAACAGTAAAAGTGAAAGGGCCACAGATGTGAACGGACATAATTCACAGGAGAGAGCAACAGGTGTCTGACACCCTCGTCAGTAACCACAAGAACCCTGGGACAGGCAAGGAGATGCACTTTTTTTTTTTACCTTGAAAATATGTAAAAATTATTATTTTCTTTCTTTTAGGATTAAAAGATACTTTCACTGTCCCCAGGTGCATATATTTAAGCTAACTTTTGGTCACGTGGTGCCAAAAGTTAGGAAAAGGAACTTTAAATAAATTGCACACTTTGACCTGGTCACTTTATTTCTAGGGTTTCGTCTCAAGGAAACAATCAGAGAAATGAGAAAGTTTTATGTACGATGACGTACAGGGCGGTGTGTTTTGTAAAATCAACCGGAAAAGCAGTTTAAAGTGATTAAATGGCAGGTTGATGGCGACTCCTTTGGCGCGACTCCTTTGGCAAGACATTCATACAGAAAACTCTTGTGCGACCATTACAAATAATACCAGAAAGCAAAGTTAAGCATGTAGAAAATGCTCGTGAAGATAAAAGAAAAAGAAAACTACAGATATTCATGTTCCAATTATGTTAGGCAGTTATTCATTTAGAAAGGTAAAAGTAAATACGTTAAAGTATTAATGATGACCATATTTAGATTTTGGAATTATTGTACTTTTACCTTCTTTGTTTATATAGTTTTAGACCATTCTGTATTTGCACAATGGACATAAGGCACTTTGACAAGCATAAACAATTCAATAAAATATCGTTCAGAGCATGAAATTAAATAGATTTTACATTATTTTGTTCTGAAACTGTATTTTACTTTTTACTCCTTTTCCTAAGCAAATGAAATTATAAAACACTTGGAATATACAGAAATGGAAAAAATAAGCTAGCAAAAAAAATTCTCCTACAACGCTGACCAATTGATTTTTGCTAATTTTGTTAGATTCGTTCCCTTGAATTTTCACATAATCTTACTTTTTGTACAACTATATCTCGTTTCCCTCCCCATTTGACATTATATTTCAAACAGTTCCTAAGAAAAAGAATTGTTCTCTTATTATTACATATTTAAAATACATTTTTGGAGCATGAAATTTATTAGTTGAAATAAAATAACAGATAAGTTGGGGGGGACGACCCACTTATAAAGTAAAAAGTTATGATCATGGAAACTTACACAGAACAGTACAAGTCTTAATGTTAAACTTTTAAAAATTCTGCAAAGGATGGAAAGATTGTGTATACAACCACTATCGACAGTATTCAGCTGGAAATAACAGATTTGGAGACAACCCTGCCATCTTCACTGATTTTGTCCCTAAAATATTTTTTGAATCCAGACTGTTTCAGTATTAAAGGAAAAGCCACTAATTATGTAATCTTGGATTTTCAATATTATATTTACAAATGATTTTTCAAATGAGGAGCAGACTTTAAAAACTCAGCTCTGCACAGAAGGGGGGGCCCTGGGGGTATAGCTCAGTAGTAGAGCTGCCTGCCTAGCACTCGGGAGCCCCGGGTTCGATCCTCAGCTGTTTGAAAGAAAAAAGGTAAATATTATTTATTTCAAAATCCTCAGGTAAGGTTCAAATTTGATGTTTTAGCAATTGAACACATTAAAAACAGGTAGGCAAAATCTGAATCCCTCCCCTTGTTTTGTCAGTTTTTGAGAAAACACTTAGGATCTTTGCTTGTGTATCTTTTACAGACTGAAATTTTCCCACCAGTTGAGTGTGATAAATCCACAGTACAAATGATAAACATATGATGCAATGAAAACGATCAGAAGAACATTCTTAAAGGTGCAGACCTTTCTAAGCCTCCATTTTTAGTTTTTCTGAATGTTGCTTTGACCATTTTTATTTCTGTGATTTCAAACCATTATTACTGAGCTGGAAATATAGCTCAGTGGCAAATTTTTTGCCTGGCATGTGTGAGGTCTGGGTTCAATCCCCACTACTACAAAAAAGGAAAGGACTATTCTCAATAATTTTAACAAAAGTTACAAAGGGTAAGAGATAATCAATTTTTGGAAGCCTACCACACTAAGATTTAAAACACCTATTTTCATAGGTGTTCAAGTTCAAAGAAAAACCAGGTCAATAGAAATAAAGTGAAAACACATTCAAGATTTAATGTTGAGAAGCATTCACTAGTAGGAATTGACTTTTACAATATTTTAAATATCTGTACCGAAATACTGGGCAGCTTCCAAAATTAACCAAACCAAATCTGATTATGGAGATCTATGGTTGTTAACCTAGAAACATATCCATTTTTTTAGGATTTTTTTTTCTTTTTAAAGAAAAGCAAGCTAACATCAAAATATTTCATTTGTCCTTATTTCTCTTCAAGAGAAGACTCAAACACATCAATAAGTTTTATATACGTATGACAACAGTCAGCCAAGAAGAGGATCCTAGCCCTCATGTTCGGGTGATAGTGTTACGAGAAAGAGCTTTTCTTCTCTTTTTTTTAATGTTGTGATTTGGGTTGTGTGTTTGTTTTATACTTTTGTAAGAAGCACAGATATCTTTCATAGTGGGGAGAAGAAGCTATTTTAAATTCCTAAGAGGACCCATGCACTTGAAGGAAAACCTTCATCCTCTATATTCATCAAAAGTAAATGACAACACAGCTGGAGAAAGAGCCAA